TCGTGCCCCGGTCCGGGAGGATCCCACATGCCGTGGAGCGGCTGGGCCCGTGAGCCGTGGCCGCTGAGCCTGCGCGTCTGGAGCCTTTGCTCCGCAACGGGAGAGGCCATAACAGGGAGAGGCCCACGTACCGCAAAAAAAAAAAAAAAAAAAAAAAGAACTGCATAAATGTTAGGGATTGTCATATATTATAGAAGGTACTTCTTTTCTGAAGCCTTGGCTGACACAGTGGAACACTATAGTTGGAGTCTAAGCTTAATTGAGAAGAAAGATTTCAGTGGCAAGAAAGATGGGAGCTCATTAAAGAGAAATCTGTGTCTAAAAGTGTTTTGAGTCTAGGAGTCCTTAAAATGGGATATACCTTTTAAAATGGTCTTATGCTTTGACGACACAGTGGACCTTCAAACTGCTTTTGGGTTTATAAAGAACTTATTTATAATCATCTTTTTAAAGAAGCACTTGTGTTGCTGCAGGATTTTAAATATTTAGGAGAGATATTTAAGGCAGCCTTGAAAACTGCCTTGAATATATCCTGGGATATAAGAGGAATCAGAGCAAGACAAAAGGAAATTAGGCGGCTGGGCCAAAAGGTATGTGATGTTCTTATTGTTTAGATTTGTTTGGATTCAGTAGGTATAACTGTTGAGAACCTTCTATGTATGAGGCTTTGATTAGGTACTGAGGGAGTGGAAATGAATGAATGAAACATTCCCTTACCAAAGGGACTTATAGTCTGGCTGGAAATGTAAGACACCTGTGGTAAATAAGGTGAGAAGAGTTTTCATGAGGTGCTCTAATATCCTAAGGGAGGAAGACCTATTCAAACTTTTGGGCAGGACTGCATCAGAGATGGCCAGTTAGAGGACACCTGAAGATTAAGAGTTTTCCTGGAAACAAAGGGAGATAAGGAGAGATAAGGCTATTCCAGTCAGAAATAGCAGCATGAACAAAGAAAGGCATTAAGGCTTAGAATAGTACCTGGTACTTAAAGCACTCAACAAATAGAGATAAATTCCTTAGAATTTAATGCTGGGATGTTGCAACTAATGAGACTGTGTGTTGTCCCTTTTTTGGGGAGAAGGTGAGAGCATTTTTAGTTTGTTAGGGTTAGTGACAATATGTTAGGCTGGAGTGTATTTTTTTCTCTACTGTTTTTTTTTATTGAGGTATAGTTGAGGTAAATAGTCTATGTTTCAAGTGTACAACATAGTGATTCACAAATTTTAAAGGTTATATTTCATTTATAGTTATTATAAAATATTGGCTATATTCCCTGTGTTGTACAATATATCCTTATAGCTTATGAATTTTATACATAGCAATTTGTACCTCTTAATCTCCTGCCCCATCTTTCCCCTCCCCATTCCCCTCTCCCCACTGGTAACCACTAGTTTGTTCTCAATATCTGTGAATCTGCTTTTTTTGTTGTTGTTATATTCACTAGTTTGTTGTATTTTTAGATTCTACATATGAGTATTTGTTTTTCTCTGTCTGATTTATTTCACTTAGCATAATACCCTCCATCTCTGTTGCTGCAAATGGCAAAAATTTCATTCTTTTTTATGGATGAGTAGTATTCCATTGTGTGTGTGTGTGTGTGTGTGTGTGTGTGTGTGTGTGTATCACATTTTTATCCATTCATCTGTTGATGGACACTTAGGTTGCTTCCATATCTTGGCTATTGTAAATAATGCTGCTTTGAACATTGGGGTGCATTTTCATGTTCTTCAGATATATGCCTAGGAGTGGAATTGTTGGATCATATGGTAGTTCTATTTTTAGGTTTTGGAGAAACCTCCATACTGTTTTTCACAGGCTGCACCAATTTACATTCCTACCAATAGTGCGTGCATGAGAATGGTTTTCTCCACATCCTCTCTACCACTTGTTATTTCTGGTCTTTTTGGTGATGGCCATTCTGACAGATGTGAAGTGATATCTCATTGTGGTGTTTTTTAAAATTAATTAATTAATTAATTAATTTTTGGCTGTGTTGGGTCTTCATTTCTGTGCGTGGGCTTTCTCCAGTTGCGGCAAGCGGAGGCCACTCTTCATCGCGGTGCACGGGCCTCTCACTGTCGTGGCCTCTCCCATTGTGGAGCACGGGCTCCAGACGTGCAGGCTCAGTAGTTGTGGCGCACGGGCTTAGTTGCTCCACGGCATGTGGGATCTTCCCAGACCAGGGCTCGAACCCGTGTCCCCTGCATTGGCAGGCAGATTCTTAACCACTGTGCCACCAGGGAAGCCCTCATTGTGGTTTTGATGTGCATTTCCCTGTTGATTAGTGATGATGATAGGCTGGAGTATTTAAAAAAAAAACAATTTATATATGGAAGGAAGGTATAAGTAAGAGTTAACTGAAATGGATAGTTGTCATTTGTTTTTTACTGCATAGCACTTTGTGTCCCCCGTTTTAAAAAAAAAAATTATTTATTTGTTTTTTTATGGCTGAGTTGGGTCTCCATTGCTGCATGCAGGCTTTCTCTAGTTGCGGCAAGTGGGGGCTACTCTTTGTTGCGGTGCGCGGGCTTCTCATTGTGGTGGCTTCTCTTGTTGCGGAACACGGGCTCTAGGCATGCGGGCTTCAGTAGTGGTGGCACACGTGCTCATGTGGGATCTTCCCAGACCAGGGCTCGAACCTGTGTCCCCTGCATTGGCAGGCAGATTCTTAACTGCTGTGCCACCAGGGAAGCCGCGTGTCCCCCGTTTTATGAGTCTTCTTGGTGGCAAAGATGCTGTCCCCTAAAGGAGATAAAAATTTAGATAGTTGCTTCTCAAACTTCCTTGCTTCTAGGGCACTGGCAGTGACCTAGCTTTCACCAATACCGTATGCCCACACCACACTTGGTTTAGGACTTAATGACATGAGAGAAAAGGTAATGGGGAGCTAACTTTCTCTCTTTGGCTGTAGAGGCAGGTAGCATCACCTGCAAGGTTGAGTTTCTGTCACTGAAGTAGCATTGATGCTAGTGGCTGTTGCACTCAAGCCAAATTCCTGCACTGCCAGAAGAGGTCTGGTGCTTACATCCAAGAATCTTCTGACTTAGGGGTCAGCAAACTATAGCCTGTAGGACATATTTGGCCAGTTGACTGTCTTTGTAAATAAAGTTTTATTGGAATACAGCCATACTCATTTGTTTACGGCTCTTTTTGTGCTACACAGGCAGAGTTGAGTAGTTGACACAGCAATGATACGACCTGCAAAGCCTAAAATATTTAGTCTGGCCTTTTGCAGAAAAAAGTTTTCCAATCCTTGCTTCAACTGATAATGGTTGTCTCGTAACAAAACTGATATACTTCTTCCATTAGACAATGAGAGTTAATAGTTTGAATTTCACTCCCTTCCTTTTGATTTTTTTTTTTTTTTTTTTTTCTTTTGCGGTACACGGGCCTCTTACTGTTGTGGCCTCTCCCATTGTGGAGCACAGGCTCTGGACGCGCAGGCCCAGCGGCCATGGCTCATGGGCCCAGCCGCTCCGCGGCGCGTGGGATCCTCCCGGACCGGGGCACGAACCCGTGTCCCCTGCATCGGCAGGCGGACTCTCAACCACTGCGCCACCAGGGAAGCCCTCCTTTTGATTTTGATTTGGCTTCCAGGATACACAGAGCAAAATTCAGTCATGAATTGCAATAGCTACCTTCAGTGTGGGTTTTTTGGTACTTGCTGTGATTTTCTTCAACTTTATGACCTATACCCCATTGATGATTACTATTGTCCTAGGATGTCTGTCTGTCTGTCTATCTTATCTATCTTTTATATGTGCAAGCAACTTGAAAGCCATTTTTGAAGAAGACAGAGTTATAATGTTATTCTTATAAAAATAAGGACTTATTAGGAAGAGTGATTGTCTGGTGTCTGTTACTGTGCAGTCCTCCTTTTATATCTACTCTGTATTTTTTAAATTTGCTAGATGATCTCCAATCTCATGCTAATAAGAGAAATTCATTTATGGTTAGGGGCCAGTGGCTGATAAGGAATAGAGGATTCAGACTAGTAAGAATTCTCTTCCTCTTGATTCTCTAGTATGCTTCTTGTTTGTGTTAATTAGGAATGTCTCCAGCTGTAAGTAGTAGAAAAACCTAACAATGACTTAAAATGTAGGGATTAGCTTTCTTGACAAGAAGTCTGGAGGAGAAAGGATGGTTCTGGCATGGGTTCAGATACTCACAATACCATTTGGATTCCAGGCTATTTCTGTTTTTCCAGTCTGCATCCTTAGAGTGTTTGCTTTCAGCCTTTGTGCTTATGATCTCATAGTTACAAGATGGCTCCTGTAGCTCCAGCAGGAATGTTTGAGGAAGAAGAAAGGGGGAAAGGCAGAACTAGCACTTCTTCTATGTCCTATTTTGTATTTAAAGCAACCATTTCCCCAGAATTCTTAGAAGCTTTTCATGACTTTACTGGCTAAAACTGTGTCACATGGGCACACTAAACTTTGAGGAAGGCTGGGAAAACGAATATTTAGTTGTCTCATTGCCTTCCTGAACAAAATTATGGTTTATTTAGCGAGAATGAAGGGAAGAATAGTCATTGGTTAAGCATTTGAAAGTCATTTGACTTTGATGACTTTTTAATATGGTTTTTAAAAACGTATTTGTACTCTGTATCATTCCATAAAAATATGTCGTGGTGCCTACATTTTATTAAAGTTGCCATATTGTGGTCTGGGGATATAACAGTAAATGGGGACATAAAGTAATTTTTCAGTCTAGAGGTGAAAAGGTATATGTTTTAATCTGCTAGGCTGGGTGGCTTAAACAAAAGAAATTTATTTTCTCGCAGTTCTGGAGACTGAGAAGTCCAAGATCAAGGTTCTGGCAGGATTTGGCTTCTTGTAAGAGCTCTCTTCTTGGCTTACAGACTGCTGCCTTCTCACTCTGTCCTCGAGGCAGAGAGAGAGAGAGAGAGATTCTAGTGTCTCTTCCTCTTTTATAAGGACAGCAGTTCTATTTGATCAAGGTTCCTCCCTTATGACCGCATTTAACTTTTTTTCCTTTAGAATTATTTTATTAAATTATAAACGTATAACAGCTTTTTAACTCTACCCATGCACTTAAATTTTTTTTAAAGGAAAAACGTTATGTCTTATTACACCATGATCCTGGCTAATAGCTTTTCAAAACTTCAAGAAAAATCTTAAAAAAGGTTTCACATGTCACCTGAAACTTACAAATTTAACATTATCAAAGGACTGCTTCTATATTCTTACAAAGACCACTAGAAAGAAACAACAATTAAAAAGCTAAGAAACTGTCTCAAAGGCTTTTTTTTTTTTTTTTACAATCCTTCCTCCCCAGTAGGTAATGTTATTAAATAATCCAATCCATTCACAAAATGGCTCTCTGCATCTTACTCTGGTGTAGTCTGCATATTTATGCATGACTGAGATGAGAGTTTCCTTAACATTGTTATTTCGATAACCTGAAGATGTTCTGTTACCTCTGGGCTCTCATCCTCTCCTATTTATACAGAGAAGCCCATGGTAAGTAGAAAGAAGCTCAGTATTGGCTTCTCCCTCCATAACCTCCACTTCCTCCACTGCCTCCTGGACCATAGTTTCCTCCACCATATGGTCCCCCCTTGTTCCTGCTACCACCAAAGTTTCCACTCTTCATTGAGCCATAGTTAGTAGGCTGCTGATTATAATTTCCAAAATTATTAAAATTTCCACTTCCATAATTTCCTCCTCCATAGTTTTCATAGCCATCTCCGTAGCCCCCACCCTGGTTGCCATATCCAGGTCCTCCACCACCGTATCCTTCTCTTCCTCCTCCATAACCAGGGCTACCTCCAAAATTACCACCTCCAGGTCCTCCTCCATACCCATTATAGCCATCCCCCAATCCACGACCACTTCCATATCCATCAGATCCTCCTCTGAAGTTACTTTCTTGACCTCATTTAACTTTAATCACCTCCTTACAGGCCCTGTCTCCAATACAGTCACAGGTGGGGTTAGGGCTTCAACATATGAATTTTGGAGGTAAGGAGGGCACAATTCAGTCATAATAATATATTAACAAACACTTTTAGTAAATTGGGATAAGTGGACAGATTGCTCTGAGGACCATAAGTAGCAGTGGCTAACTCTGTTTGAGGGAGTTTGGAAAAACCTTGGTAGAGGTGGTGACATTTGAACTGAATCCAAAAGGATAAGCAGAGGGGAAAATTATGGGAGAGTAGTTTGTTACTGCATCCTACGTGCTGAGAGGTTGATTGAGGGTGTTAATACTTTAAAGATTATCCATTTCATTATTGTATACTTCTGATTATTATAATGTTCTTATATTGATATAAAATAGAATTCCCCGTTACTCTCTCTGTCTCTATTTGATGGAGAAGACAAGGTGATTTGTATGGCATATGACAAGATAATCACTCTTGGGCAGTCTCTTCTTTAGGCCAATTCTAAGATTATATCCACATTTCTGGCCTTCATTGGTCTTTCTAGTTTCTTCCTAACTGGTCTTTCCAGCTCCACTTGTTCATTCACTTATTCATCCATTCAGCCATTACTTACCAATCTCCTACTGTGTGCAAGGAATAGTTCTTAGGTCGGGGGATAAAGGAAAAGTTTTTGCTTGTGGGGCATATGTTCTATTGGTGGGAGTCAACCAAAAAGCAAACAAATATGTCAGTTGATGGTAAGTGCTATGGATACAAATAAAGCAGAGTAGGAGGGAATAAAGAGTGCTGAGATGGGGTGAAGAGAGGTTCCTGTCGTTTTATGAAGAGTGGTCAGGGAAGACCTCTGATGAAGTGATATTTGAGTAGAGACCTGAAGGAAGTGAGGAAAGTAGTCATACAGATATCTGGGGGAAAATGTGTTTTTAGGCGGAGTGACCATAGGTACCAAAGCCCAGAGGTGGGAGTGTACATAGCCTGTTGGTGGAAGCCATTGTGCCTGGAGCAGTGTGAATGAAGGAGAGAGAAGTAGGAGACCAGGTCAGAGATGTAGCAGGGTAAGATGGGGGGTGGAGGAGGAGGATAGAGGTAAGATCATGTATGGCCTTGTAGGTCTTCATAAGAACTTTAGCTTTTACATTGAGGGACTTGGGAAGCCACTGGAAGATTTTGAGCAGAAGAGAGTGATGTGATCTGAGACTTACATTATAAAAGGATCATTCTGGGAGGCAGGAGTGGATCTGTTAAGAGTCTACTGCAATACTCTAAGTCACAGTTTCTCCACTATTAACATTTTGGGCCAGATAATTCTTTGTTGCGAGGGGCTGTCCTGTGCATCATAGTATTATTAGTAGCATTCCTGACCTCTGTGCATTAGATGCCAGTAGTACCTCCTCAGTTGTTTCAACAAAAATTTCTCTAGACATTGCCAAATTTCTCCTTTGGAGAAAAATCTCTCCCCCCTAGCCTCCAAATATTGAGAACCACTATTCTAGGTAAAAGTTGCTGATGGTTTGGACCAAGGCAGTAGCAGTAAAGGTAATGAGAAGTGATTGGATTGTAGATATATATTGAAGGTACAGTTGTTAGGATTTGCTGGTGACTTTGAGGTAAAGGTGATAGAAAAACTGGAGTCAAAGATGAATCAGATTGGGATTTCCCTGGTGGCACAGTGGTTAAGAATCCGCCTATCAATGCAGGGGACACAGGTTTGAGCCCTGGTCTAGGAAGATCCCACATGCTGCGGAGCAACTGAGTCCTTGAGGCACAACTACTGAGCCCACGTGCCACAACTACTGAAGCCCATGCACCTAGAGCCTGTGCTCCACAACAAGAGAAACCACTGCAATGAGAAGCCCACGCACTGCAACAAAGAGTAGCCCCTGCTCGCTGCAACTAGAGAAAGCCCGTGCATAGCAACAAAGACCCAACACGGCCAAAAATAAATAAATAAATTTATATATATTAAAAAAAGATGAATCAGATTTTTGGCTTGGGTAATTGGAAGAGTAGAATTGCATTGAGATGGGGACAGGTGAAGAAGGAACAGATTTTTGGATCTGTTAAGTCTGAGTGCCAGTGACACAGGTTTGTCTTCTGTTGTCTTTAAAAATGCTCTGTTTCTTGAAAGTAAGAAGTAGGTCTCCTCATATTTTCATCCTTTGTGACTGCACTGTATCTGGCATGTAGAACAAATTCAGTAAATGGTGAATGAATGATGAGATTATTTACTATTTCCTTGAATGTCTAGATTGTTTATTATTTCCTAAACAGAGCTCATGCTTTTTCCTCCTTTGGGCCTTTGCTTTTGTGGTTCCCTCAAGGGGATTCTCAACCCTCACCCCCATTCTCAGTACCTCTATTTATGAAAATTCTACTCCTTTTTAATACCCAACCCAAATACTGTCTGCTTCACAAAACTTCCCCCAGCTCTACAGATATAGTTGGTGTCTCCCTTCTCTGTACTTTTTGCCTTGTTTGAACTTCGTGTACATTTTGATTTAGTTAGTTGCTTTATATCTGACTGGCACTGAATAGATTTTTGCCTTTTTCCCCCCTTTTCCATCCTTCCATTGCTTATTTCTTTTCTTGAAGTATTTTGGTAAGCCATTATTGTTATCTATTTATTTTATTCTCCACCTCATTCCATAGTCCTTAATAGACAACAGGCTCTGCCATGTAATTACAAGAAAGAATGGTATATTAGGTGACTATTTTAATAGAACCCAAATCATCATTGTTGACTGACTTCCTCCTACATATTTTTTAAAGACTTTATTTTTTAAAATTATTATTTTTTATTTTGGCTGTGTTGGGTCTTTTTTGCTGCGTGCAGGCTTTCTCTAGTTGCGGTGAGCAGGGGCTACTCTTCGTTGGGGCACGTGGGCTTCTCGTTGCAGTGGCTTCTTTTGTTGCGGAGCACAGGCTCTAGGCGCACGGGCTTCAGTAGTTGTGGTGCATGGACTCAGTAGTTGTGGCTTGCAGGCTCTAGAGCTCACACTCAGCAGCTGTGGCACACGGGCTTAGTTACTCTGTGGCATGTGGGATCTGCCCGGACCAGGGCTCGAACCCGTGGCCCCTGCATTGGTAGACAGATTCTTAACTGCTGCGCCACCAGGGAAGTCCCCACTTCCTCCTACATTTAACTGGTAATATCAGAAGTTGTAATTCTCAATCAGTAAATGTATTGGTCTTAAATTATTTGTGGTTGCACAAGAATCAAATAAAAACAATCATTTTCAAATCCTACAGCCACTATCAGTTGAAACCTGTAATGTCTAAACAAATTTTGTTGATTATTACTGATCATTAGCCTTTATATAGTGTTAACAGTGGTTGCAAACTCATATGCTTGTAGAAGTCAGCTGAATAACCTAAAGGGCCTGATTAGGCTAAGATGACTACATAGACAAAACATCACTGGTCAAGATCCATGGGTCGAATGAATAGTTTGTGAATTATTTACTTTGGAAAACCAAAGGACTATATAAATGCAAGGAGTAATTGCACTTAAAACAAGTTAACTGCTAACTTGTGTAAACTTGGGCCAGTTATTTGATATATGTAGGATTTTATTTCTTTCACTCACTATGTAGTTTAGTCTTTTAAAGTCCCTTCTACTTCATTTGATTCTGCTTTTTCATTTCTTTAGCTAATAGTTTCTTCCTTGACTATAATTTACTAGCCCTCAGTAATAAATAAAATGCTGGCTTCTTATTAATATACCTCAATTTCATGAGTCTTGTATTTCATCAGAGGAAGCCATGGTTAGCCAAGCTTCCTATAGCAGTACCCACCATTGAAAGAGACAGCATGTGAGCTGGCTGGTCTGCATTCTATAACCAAACCAGCATCTGGTTTTTGAGAACTGAAATCTAGAATAGAAGATGCCTGAATTTGATCTTCCTTGCTAAAGACATTAGTGGTCCTGCCTTATACTATATGATACATGTTTTGTAGTTTCTTCCATCTTATCCTGTTTATTTTGTTTATTCAGTTTTCTAGTGCAGTACTTTTTACAGTTTTGTGTATGCCACTCTCCCTTATTAGTGGTGATTCCTGGAGTCATAGGCCATTTCTAGGTCATCTTTAATCCCTGTAACCAAGTACAGGCAAGGGCACATGGCAGATGTTTGATAAATGTTTGAAGAGATAGAATACTTACTAGATTTGCAGGTGATAAAGACTGGAAGGAAAAACTACTATGCTAGATGGCACAGAGAGAGAGAGAGACAGAGAGAGAGAGAATGAGCGAGTGAGAGCGAGTGAGCTTGAAAAGGTGGGTTGAAGCCAAAAAAGATGAAATTTAAGGTGGATGGCAGTGAAGTTCTATATTTTAAGTCTGAAAGAAATGGCAAAATATGGGGAGCCTAGAGGAGACCTAGCCTGATGCTATTCTTATGAAAATTGTGGTTTTGGCTGCCTAAGGCCAGTGTCAGCCAAAGGCACTGCAGTGGCTAAAAAGCTAGTGCAGCTTCAGACTGAATTATTAGAAGTACAAAGTATAGTTAATGGAGGTGATAGTCCAACTACGTTCTATAGGGGATAGACTGCCCTTAGACTATCACCTTTCCCATAGGGTACCAGGCAGTAAGAGGGTCATTGCAAACAGGACTGTGTTTAGTGGAAGGTGCCCTAGTTGCACCAGGGTCATTGCAAACAGGACCGTGTTTAGTAAAAGGTGCCCAGATCACTCAAAGTAGAGTTTGAACTGTTCCCAGTCTGCAATGAGGTAAGCATAGAAATTGAGAGAGTTTAGAAACTTTTACAATAATTTGACAGAGTAATTTTAGGTCTAATGAATCTAATGAAAAAGAAAATGAGGTTTATCTTATATGTCTTTTTTTTGTTTGATATTTGCCCTTTATTTTTTATTTTATTTTAATAGACTTTATTTTTCAAGCAGTTTTAGGCTTATAGAAAAATTGACCAGGAAGTACACAGACCTCCTGTGTACTCCATCTCTCCCACTCCTCCCAGCACTTCCTCTATTAACATCTTGTTATCAGTGGGTACAATTGATGAATCAGTATTGATACATTATTATTAACTAAAGCTCTTTGTGTTGTATATTTCTGTGGGTTTTGACAAATGCATCGTATCAGGTATCCACCATTATAGTATCATACAGAATAGTTTTACCACCTTAAAAATGCCCTGTGGGGACTTCCCTGGCAGCCCAGTGGTTACAACTCCGAGCTTCCACTGCAGGGGGCATGGGTTACATCCCTGGTTGGGGAACTAAGATCCCGCACGCTGCGCTGCGCAGTCAAAAAAAAAAAAAAGCCCTATGTTTCACCTGTTCATCCCTGC